AGCCCATCCTCGTCAGCTGGGCTCACAGCAACAAGGCCCGAGGGACTGTATGGCATCGTAAGAGGTACAATCTCTGACAGGGCTGCGCAAGGGAGGCCTATTGACAGTGGCTTCGGAGTTTGAGCAGAAGTGGCGTTGATCAGCTGCTAGCAGGCGCCTGATCAGGGTTTCAACGGCGTCACGCTGATCTTGGTACAGCATCTCAGCAGCACATAGATGCGCCGATGAGGGTTGCAGGCAACCCGTGACTCACTGCAAACACGCTGGGTTCAAGGGGCGCACAGCGCGCTGTAGCGCGCTGTGTGTGCGCAGCTGTGGGCCACGCCTTCCATGGCTGTGGCGCTCGCCCTTATGTGGCGGGGGCCGATTCTGCGAGCAGCAGGAAGCTCGTCGCTTCACGGTAGGCTCTCCTGCAAGCCACCACGGCGGCTGGGCCGCTTTGAAAGTGAGAATTTGTCACTGAGAGCATGCGCAGAATAGCGCCAAAGGTCCGAGAGTTTTCTAACGGGGCCACCCACCCTCACCATCTCCTAGACCATCCCGAATCTCCAACGCTGCAGCTGAAGCTGCGAGCAGCAAGATTTCAGAATGGTCGCGGCGTGAGCCGAAACCGATCCGAGTTGTTGGATGACTTCCCTCTCGCAACGACTTTCAGCTCGTTGGAAGCTGGTTGTGCTCTGTGCATCTTAGGACCTCGATCTCAACTGCAATAGGCCTGGGGCGGTCTGTGATGGGTGCATGAGCGTGGGCGAGGCAAAATCGGCTGTCTTCCTTCGCCATGGGCAAGACACCCATTCCTTGGTGAGGACTCTTGGTTGCTGCGAGACCTTCATTGTCGCCGAGCTTTCAGGCAGGGCCAGTGAAACCAAGAGAGCAATGGCAAGAGCAAAGGCATCAACGAAACTCGCTTTGAGTGCGAAAATACACGGGTTTTGACATAAAGTCTCTGCAGGTGAACGAAGAGTGTACATGTACATTACATCTGCACACATTTTACACATTATAACTCTGACCATCGCTGCCGGGATGCACTTCAGGCCAGGCTTCCTGTAGGTCTTGCAGTGCCCCTAAACCCTAAACCCCTAAAACCCTGAACCCTAGACTACTAGACCCCTAAAACCCTAAACCCTAAACCCTAAACCCTAGTGCCATGGCACATTCCTCCGCAAGGTGCAGTTGCACCCGGGTTATCGAGAGCGCGCCGGAGTCTCGGCCTTCCGTGTCACGGACGTTCCAGTGTTGGGTTCCTTCAGCCCGGCCTCAGTTGCTTTTGCATCCTTTTCCCTTTCCAAGAATCGGTATCATAACGTTCTCCAAAAGGCACAAGAAGGACAAGAACAAACGCGCAGGAAGCGTGAAGAAAAAGCACGCAGAAGTCACAGGAACGCTCAAGGAAGTAAAGGAGCGCTACAAAAGGCTTAGTAAATGAGCTGAAAAAGCTGGGCCCTTCCCCTTCCTTAACCCTGAATAGTAATTCTGTAGCTTAAAGGGCCCCCTCAATGCAGTACATTTATGAGCCCGAGCAACTGAAAGTCGTATTGTTTGGTACACTCTTGTATTTATTGTGCATTTTATTGCTCTGATATTCATCACTCTTTACATTTGCCATCGCTAGTCAGGTCTGTTTGTTTTTGTGTTCTGGATTCATGTTTGGAATCTTCGGAACATTAATATCAGTCCTTAAAAGAATAGAATTAGATTCATTCAAATATCCAGAAATCCAGAACTTCCACCATAAGCATGACGCGGTAGGGAGACATTGTCCAGGGGTGTCACTTTTGTCCTTTAACCAAGGCAGGTCTAAGTTTTGTGGGGTGGTTGGAGAAAAGGACTGGAGGAGGTGCGGGGGGGGGGGGGGGAAGTATCGCGCGGGACGGGGACACCGCCAACAACACTCCGCGCACGAGCATCTTGTATAAGCTAAAGACCTCAACAGGAGCGGGCGCATTTGCCGGACGCGACTCCACGCAAATTCAAGGAAGCAAAGACGAGTCAAGAAAGGGCATCCGCGTCAAAGATATAGCACCAGTGAAAACTTCTGACCCATGATAAGAGAACAAGGGGGCTAGAGAAGGCTTATAGTGGCCTCATAATGCTTAACAACCTCAACCCGAAACCCGAAACCCTAAACTCGAAACTCCCTTGGCTGTTTGGGAGGTGTACCGCTGCCTCGAGCCAATAGCAGTTGGAAGGCCAGGAGAAGGAAAAGCTTGTGGGTTTGTTAACAAAACGAAGTAAGTAGCAGGCACCTTTCATACTCGGATTCCCTGTCTGAAAAGGACGACCCCCCCCCCCCCCCCCTCCCCCAAAAAAAGTGGCCTGACATATAAAACCATGCAGCTGCAGGCTTGGCAATGCTGGTGTTCCGCTTGAGGTCGCCGTGCGATTGCTTTCGTTCTTGCCTGGCAGGCAACTTCCGGTCAGCTTCTGTCTGGTCATGAGCAAGTCGCCGCCTCGAAAGTTCATGGAGGGAACGGGTTGCAGTTGTTTCTTGTAGAAGCTGGAAGGTAGAAGCAAGACTGACTTTCCTTCAGCTGAAGCCTCCCATTGCCTCAGGCTTTGCCTGATCATGGCCCTTGAGAAGCTGGATGCTGGATCTGTGCGGGTCGGGACGTTGCAGCATTTTGTTCAGGAAAGCAGACCGGGAACTCACGTCCCCTTGAAGATTTCCCTGATGCATCATGACCTTCAAAGAAGTTTCAGGTGCTCTGCCAGTCCAGCCTGCCGCTTGTGGGAGTCTGTGGAGTCTGGTGCCCAAGAGAGCTGCACCATGCTGGGTACCGAGAAACGAGTCTCTTGGCTGTTCCCCTCATGCCCCTCTGCCAGGCGGTCCTGTTCCGAAGGCGCTACTCAGCCATGCAGCTGCAGCCTAAGAATGACCTCAGATGCCGCCGGAAGCAAACCCTAAACCCTAAACCCTAAACCCTAAACCCTAAACCCTAAACCCTAAACCCTAAACCCTAAACCCTAAACCCTAAACCCTAAACCCTAAACCCTAAACCCTAAACCCTAAACCCTAAACGGGGGCGGCTCTAAGGTGGTGCTCACTGGCTGGCGTGACCGTCGCCTTGGGCTGTTTCTATTACATCAAGCACGAGGCCATCTTTGCTTCTCTGCTTCTTTGCTTCTTTGCATTAGCTGCCGGGCGACTTGTGCAGCTTCAGTGTATATCGCAGAGCTGGATGAAGCAGGTGAAGCTTGCCAGCTGTGTTGTGGATGAGCAGGCTCGACTCTTGGACAAGACTCCATCCCCCACTATGAGCTTTGTCTCGACGCGAGGTGGGGTATTCCTCAAGCTGCACATCCACGTGCCAACGACGCACTTAGATGGTTTTCGCTTGATTGAGCCAGGAAAGAGAACCCCCTGAAGTCAATGCAACAGCCCGAAGACGCAGTTTCCGGCATTCGGAACGATACTGCTAGGTCGGGCACGGTGTTAGCTCTGTCGAGCATCGGCGGGATTCTCAGATGCGAGAATCACGATTATGAGTGTGCCGCCTTAGGCTCCCAAAATCTCCGGAAATCTTGCTAAGCCCTAAGCTCTGAGTCTTCTTAAGCCTGGAAAAAATAACGCTCTTCGAGGCTTCAACTGCCTCGGGGCCTGGGGCATAGTCTCCGCGCCACGTCGAAGTGGGATAAGCGGGGGAGCACACTGTTGGAGCCCTTAGAGGCCTTGCTGGCCGAGAAGTTCCTCAAGACGAGGCCCCTCGCACCCCTGAGCCTTAAACCCTCCCAATCCCATCCAACCGTGGCTGCTCTAAACCCTGAACCCTAAACCCTAAACCCTAAACCCTAAACTGTTCAAAGCAGATGCATCAGGAGTGGCCTTCTGCACGAGCAGAAAGTGCAGCTGGTGTCTGGCGAGGTTGGCCGTTTTGATTCCGCAGAGCGCGGCACGTCCTAGGAGTTCGTATGAAGTGCCAGAAGCAGTCCCTTTAAATGCACCGCGCATGGCCCTGCCGAAGATGCGAGTGCCGAGGTCCTGTTTAATGTCTTCCTTCTGTTCATCATGCCTTTCTTGTTTAGCGTCGCGATCTCAGCACACTGAGATGGACACGTGTGACCTGCGAGGGGGTGGGGGAGGGCAGGTTTTTAGCGCTCATGCCTGAACTTTGTACCACAGAGTTGATGTCAGCCAAGAAGCCTCCTGGTCAGAAGGGGTTCTGTTTCTTTGCACGTGACCGTCTGCGCCATTTGCTTATGCACCTGTGGCCTGCGCAAAGGCCTATGTCTCCATGAATCAACACGTCTACAGATGCTTGCAATGCATGCCACGATACCTCGCAAACTAGTGAAAGCCGGCAGAAGCTCCACCTCGAAGCGTCTCTTCGTAGCAATCTGTGTTGCTCACAGGATCCGGCGAAGCGCTCGTTCAACAACGTGTTCGAGCGGGGGTTCTTTGCTGGCTGGGTGCGCCTGCCGCCGATGCTCAAGTGGTGAATGTCGAATACTTGACATTGCAGCCTTCATGCGAGCTGCTTCTGCAAGATTGTAATCGCTCCCGATGCATGATGGGCAGGACGTGCGGGTGCTCATTTGTGCGCTGGTGTGGATTCCCTCAGGTCAGGAGCCTCGGAAGGACGTCCACACAGCCAAGAAAGAGAGCTTGCTTGCATAGATCGCGTATCATGAATCACTGAGTCAATACATTGTCTAGGGTTTGCTTTGGTGATCTGGTCCGTGTCAGGCTGGACGGCGACCATGCTCGTTAAAGTCTTAGCCTCAGAGCTTTCCCAGCAGCCACGTGCATGTTGACCTGGAGTCTTTCGCAGCTAGGACACTGCTGGCATGAGCTTACAAGGTCTGCAGCAAAACGGTTTGACAGAACCCCTGAACCCCTGAACCCTAAACCCTAAACCCTAAATCTTCCCTGGCTGGAAACATCCACAAGCTGGGCGTCGACTGAGAATTGTCTACAGCAGCTGCGCTGTCGGCATTTCCCTTGCCCTGTGGATTTAGGAGTACCCACCCGTGAGCCATCATGCCTATCCCCACTGCATTGCAGGCATCTCAACTACCTTTCGGGGCCGGGGAGTAGCTGACTCGCTGCCGTTATCTTCTGATCCACCTAAGAAGGCATGGGTTGCGCCCTTGGCGCCTGGTAACGCCTAAGCCCAAAACCCAGACCTGAAGCAAGTGATGGCTTGCTGTTGCTTCTCTCAAGATTGAACGCCCAAGCCTTCTGCTCCACCTGCATTGTTCTGTCCAGTGGAATCAAACCAGACAGCGCAGATGTTTTCAAACGATCCCTGCGGCTTTTGCTGGAAGGAAGCCTCGAACGTGCTGAAGGTCGTTGCCCAGGGTGCTGCATCGATGCTGCCAGGGCCTTGGTGAGTGCAAGGTAGTGCCAGCGAGGGCGCTGTCAAAGTGTGCAATGTGCAGCTTCTCACCGGGGGGTTGAATCGGGTATTGTTGCGGTATGCTCAGCTTTCAAACTCGAAACCCGAAACCCTAAGAATCTAAACTTCCTAAAACGTCATAAGCCTTCCTAAACTCCCCAAAAAAGGACCTATGCCTTCAGCCTGACGCCGCTCGTGGCAGCAGCTGGAATGAAGGCTCTCGGGTGGCTGGGATATGAGAAAATCGATTTTTGTGCGGGGCAGCTTCCGGGAGCTTCGGGAGCTTTCGGTTTAGGGTTTAAAGGGTTTAGGGTGTAGGGTTTAGGGTTTAGGGTGTAGGGAGTTTAGGGAGCTTAGGGGGTTTAGGGAGCTTCGGGAGTTCATGGATGCGATGAGCATGCTACAGGCATCGACGATCTGGGACGCGACCTTTATTAAGAATGTAGTATGGCAAAGTACCCTAAGCCCTAAACCCTAAGCCTTAAGCCCTAAGCCCTAAGCCCTAAGCCCTAAGCTCTAAGCCCTAAGCCCTAAGCCCTAAGCCCTAAGCCCTAGACCCTAGGCCCTAGGCCCTAGGCCTAGGCCTAGGCCCTAAGCCCTAGGCCCTAGGCCCTAGGCCCTAAGCCCTAAGCCCTTAACGGGAGTTGCGTCAGTCGGAAAACACCGGCGTGAGCACGTAAATCTTTTTCAGTCCAACGACACGGCTGAGTACGAAAACGGTGCGGTGGAGTCTGAAAACGCAGAGGGCTCAGTCAAACACCGGCAACGCCCCAGTCCGAAACAGACTGGCGCATTCAGAAAAGTAAAAGCCTTCAAGCCTCCAATCTCACATGGGAAAGAGTCAGAAAACAACAAACAGGCGTAATTATTCCGTAGAACCGGACATGTTGTGCAAATCGTATTTGAGTTAAGCTTGCCTCGTTGCTGCACCTGCTTTCTGGTTGCACGTTTTCCGACTGACGCTTCTGTTTTTCGGCTCAACGGTTTTTTGTTTTAGGAATGGGGCTTTCTGACCAAACGACCAAACTGTTCTTCTCCTCCGGTTGGGGTTGCATTCGCTCGTTCGAAGCTTGTCACGTTTTCGCACTGAGGCTCTCCGTTTTGTAGTTGCACGTTATTTCGATGGACGCCTTCGTTTTTGGGGTTGGCGACCTTTTGTTTTTCGGATTGGGGGCCTTTGGATGCGAATGTTGGACAGACTCTGTTTTTCTCTCGGCGTGTGTCTGAGGTAATTTGAGTCTTTGGGTTTGACTCGGCCCCTGCGTTTTTCCGACTCAGAACTTTGCGCTTTTTGAATGCGCCGGGCTCGTTCTCCGTTTCTGAAAGGAGCTTTCCATTGTGCTGCCCACGTTTTCCTGCCTCAGCCTCCACCCAGCCCTGATCCCTAAACCCTAAACCCTAAACCCGGAACCCGGAACCCGTAACCCTAAACCCTAAACCCTAAACCCTAAACCCTAAACCCTAAACCCTAAACCCTAAACCCTAAACCCTAAACCCTAAACCCTAAACCCTAAAGCCCTAAACCCTAAACCCTAAACCCTGAACCCAGTTCACCAAGAAAATTCCAGTCTGTTGGTGGGTCGTCCGGAGGCCCGCGAGCCGATCTCACCCCCAGTGGCAGTTCTGGCTCTGAGTGTGCTCTTTGCGGGGAGCCCAGGTGGAGGGTTTAGGGTTTAGGGTTTAGGGTTGAGGGTTGAGGGTTGAGGGTTGAGGGTTGAAGGTTGAGGGTCAATCAGAGTCCTCACCGTCCTTCTCACTTGCAGGAAATGCAGGAAAGGGTCTTCAGTACCACTAAATGATGGCTGCGAGTGCTTCGAGTCTGCCTGTCAACGAAGGCCGCATTGACCTTCGGCTTGGACAGCGTCCATGCCGGCTCGTTTCTCAGGGGTTTCCGAAAACAGGGGTATCCTGTTGGGGGTTCCTCTACTAAGGATTACACCGTTCTGGGGTATATTAGGGATACCCTTTTGGGCGTTCCTAGACTCAGGATTATACCATTTTGGGGTATATTAGGAGTACCCCCCTATTTTTGGAAATGAGCATGTGAAGCCACAGCATCCCATGGTGCCTTGCAGTTGTAAGGTCGGGCCCCGCCCGATTGCAAACGTGAGGATCCTCCGCTCCTACACTGCAAGTTCGCAGCAGAGGTGTGTCATAGTATGTCGTGAGATAGGAGCCCCCAGTATAGGTTTAGGGTTTAGGGTTTAGGGTTTGGGGTTTAAAGGGTTTAGGGTTTAGGGTTTAGGGTTTAGGGTATGTCGTAATATGGGAGTTTACGAAAGTAGGGGACCCCTAATATAGGGCCCCCAAAGAATAGAGGATCCCCTTATCATAGGGACCCCAAGAAGGTACCCCCAATATCGTAAACCCCCCATATGTCGTAGTCCGATGGCTTATGCCTTTTTTCCGACCCGCCGAGGAACAAAGCTGTCGGCAGCACCGCTTGCGGTGGCTGAGTGGTTACTGCGCGTCTTTTCTGTTCCACCTGTCGGAACAGGGGTGTCCACAAGCTTGTTGACAGGTGTGACAGGTGTCACGGAGAGTAGGGGAGTGTAGGGTCTTGGGAGAATCTTGGGGACGCCTGCGTTTGAAAAAGTTGGATGGGCTTCGCCTTAGAAACCTTTCCATCGATTTTCCTAGCGTGCACTGCTCCGAAGACACGAGCGGCGGCAGGCACGAGGCCAGTGGACTCAGGGGAAGGAAGTGTGAGGTATTAAGGTCATGAGTCATCACGTTCTTGTGTTCGCCTCGAGTCAGGCTGGCTCTAAGTTGCGATGGGATCGCTGCTGTCGAAAAAGGCACTCACAGCACAGCTGAGTGTCGAGGCGTCTTTTGCGGCCAATCCATGTCAGCTCTGTGTGCTCGCCGTGCCACGGCCTTTGAAGCTAAAGTCCCCAGTCCCTCGTCAATCATTTTCATCTCTCCCACACCACTTGAAATACCAAGTGGTTGAACGCGTGTGACGTTCTTGTGCAGCCCCACCCCACATACCGAAGTACTTGAAGTTCAGCCAAAACCCAGTGAAGCTGACCTGTGTGTATGTACTGCTAGTTCGCCGATTGTGTCTGCAAATGGAGCCGCCAGAAAGTCGCTCGGCAAGAACGATTGAAACCGTGGCTCAGCAAAAGCTTTGGGGGCCTGTCTCAACTTCAGAACGTAGGTTCTCTGCCTGGAACCTTGTGCTCGAAACGAGTTGCTCTGCATGAGCTGCGTTTCCAACTGCTGGCGTCCGGCGCACCAACGCGGGGGCGGCTGTCCAAGGTTAACAGTAGGCAGCGATTGCAGTCACCTCACTATACAAGCCCTTCAAGGGTATATACAGGGGGAAATAGGGTGCCTCATTCCCTCACCAGCAGTGAAAAATCTGCAGAGACGGTGCCTGCCTCTGTTAGGCCTCCTAGGATTGGTGTCTCTGATTGCATCACGCGAGGTTTGTGAAGCATCTAAACATTAAGTTCGGTGTTTTGGTAAGGCCTTGCCAAGGGCATCTCACAGCCAGGTAGGGGGAATCATATTAGGGTACCTGTATGCCGAGTTCAATCTGCATGCAGGACGGAGTAGATTCAAAAGCCGCATGTCAGTAGGATGCAGGAGGACGAGAAGGATCAAGCACACTGCCTTGATGGTTGCCCGGGCTCTTCTGTTGCCAAGCGGTTCTATGTATCTGTACCTGTAAAATTTGTGTCACCTTGCTTCTCCACGTAAGGTTGATGCGGTTGTAGTCAGTGTGAGAAAGGCTTTGTGGGGTGCCTAGCTATGTGCAACAGTCGCATGTGATCGCCTGTGTACCTCGAAGACAAAACTGCAATGGAGAGAAGTTCAGAAACCTGAATGGCATGTCGACAAGCTGCAGCGCGCAAGAGTCTTGATTTGATATGTTTGCCTTGCTTAGATGTCGTCGCTTCCAAGGTGGTACCTCACTTCGTTCGGTACTTGACTGCTCAACAAGGACTTCTCTGAAACCGGTAACTCCACCTGGTATGCACCTGCTGTTGTGTCTGTAACTCAAGCAAGGGCGTGCGCACCATAGGTCGTCTTCCGAGCACCAGTTAGCAGCCTCTATAGCATTGTCTGCTACACATCGGCGTTGGAGGAACAAGGAGGTGCCGGATCATTTCCTGATCGGGTTTATCCAAACCCCACATCACACCTCTTTTTTTGCATCGCTGTGCTCGGATCGAGGTGCTACAGTGCTACAGGTGTAGGTGTACACTCCCCACCCCGCTTCCATAAGACAGAATGTGCGTGGCTGCTGAGTCAGCTGTGCAACGGCTGCATCTGGAGGAATTGATAACGGCTACGACTTACCCAAGAATAAACGGTTGAACATGGAAGATGCCGTGGACACCAGGGAGGACTCTTTGCAGTCGACGATGGACATGTAGGGAATCAAGCGGTCACAGCGGCGAAGGAGATCCTCCCGCATCTTCGGGAGGATTTCCTTGGCCACCGTGACAGCTTCATTCCCTGCATGTCCATCGTCGACGCCAGAGCCGTGGACGAGGAAGTTACAAACCAACTGGTCGACAACAAGTTGACGCCTCACATGGAGACATCTTCGGGCACGGTAGCTTGCCTTGGCTTGATCAAGGGTGCGGACGTGTGGACTGCAAACCTGGGCGACTGCCGGGCCGTGTTGTCCAAAGATGGCACAGCCCTGGCGATTTCCCCGGAGGAGAATGCCGTGGAAGCAGAGCAATTTGCAGATCTGCGAACGTCCTGCTTCCGCGATTGCATGTCAAAGTTCAGGGTGGCTACGTTGACGTTGAGGAGCACGTGGCCGTATCGAGAGCCTTCGGGAACGTGCGTTTCAGCTGAGGCGCACGTTGCCGAGGGCTGTCGATACGGCCACAGCAGCAAGTTTGAGGGCATCAGCAGCGAGCCCGAGGCATTTTCTGCGAAGATCGATGACACAGTGGACTTCGTCCTCCTCGGCACTGCAAAGCCGGAGGATGCTGCAGCGGCTATCCTGCAAAACGCGGGAAAAGTGAGCAAGTCGGACAATTCTGCCGTGATCGTGGTTGTGTTCAAGTTTCCTGAGCTGCTCCCGAAGCGGCCTGGGGTGCCAAGAGTTTCCTTGACGCAGTTGCAGGAGACAGAATTACAAACTCACGTCCGTCTAGTACCTACGCAGGTGTCTCCTGCAACTGCGTCAAGGAAACTCTTGGCACCCCAGGCCGCTTCGGGAGCGGCTCAGGTGGTTTTGTTCAAGTTTCCTGAGCCGCTCCCGAAGCGGCCTGGGGTGCCAAGAGTTTCCTTGACGCAGTTGCAGGAGACACCTGCGTAGGTACTAGACGGACGTGAGTTTGTAATTCGACATGCAGGCGCCTCGAGAGGGCACCTGCAGGCGTCGCCGGCTGTTTGCGAGAACTGGAGCCGCGGGAGCGTGATCAGGCGAGTCAGGACACACCTCCTGGCGATGCCGACCAGCGACACGCCTTTGAAGCAAGCAAGTGGACACAGCCAGTCGCACAGGGTCGTTCCACGGCATTAAGAGGAAGCGTGTCTCGCCCTATGCTCATTACAAACCTATGTAAAGGGAGAGACAGCTGCTACTTCGGGGTGAGTGCGGGGTTGGCCCTGGTGAGATGACACTGAATGGAGTGACGAAACTGCTCTTTGAGCTGCAGTGTGGTCAGACCACAAGCTGAGGGACTGTGTTACTGAGTTAGACCACTCGTTCGCGACGTTTTCTGAAGCCCTTTAACCCTAACCCTCAGCTTCCGTCCTAAACTTCCTAAACTCCCCAAAAAAGGACCTACGGCTTCGTCCGAACGCCACTCGCGGCAGCAGCCTGGAATGAAGGCTCTCGGATGGCTGGGTCAGGGAGTTTTGGGATCTTTTCGGGAGTTGTGGGAGCTTTCGGGAGTTTTGGGAGCTTGAGGGAGCTTAGGGAGTTTTAGGGCATTTAGGGAGTTTAGGATGTGATGGGCGTGATACAAGCCTAAGAGCACGAGAGTCCACGATCTGGGACAAGACCTATTGTGAGAATGGAGCATGGTAACGTACCGTGGGCGCAGCAGGGGTGTCCAGTCTGCCGGTGCCCCATGCGCAGGGAAACAACGCGAAAACGTCAAATACAGCTTAGTTCTTCGGCATGCTCCGAGTCTTCGCGTCCACGGCCGCATGGACCTTCGGCTTGGACCGCGTCCATGGCGGCTCGTTTCTCAAACTCAGAATCCGTGTGGAACCCGTGGGCAGTGGTCGGAGGCAAATGGGGATTTAATGCAAACGCTAGCATCCTTGCAGTTGCAGGGTCGGGCCCCGCCCGATTGCAAGCGTGAAAATCCTCCTCTGAAGGGCACCTCACGACACAAGTAGCAAGTACAATTGCCGAGTTCATACAATATCTGCATGCAGGGCGGAGTAGATGGAAAAGCAGCTTGTCAGTAGGATGCAAGCAGTCGAAAAGGATCACATCACTGGCTTGTCTATGTTTGCATAATTGCTGTCGCCTTGCTTCTCAGCGTTAGGTTGACGAGGTTGCAGTCAGCGCGAGCACAACTGCGTGGGGTGCCCAGCTATGTACAAAGGTGCCTGTATACCTCGAAGACAATACTGCAATGGGAGAGAAGTTCAGCAACCTGAATGGCATGTCGACAAGCTGCAGCGCGCAAGAGTCTTGATTTGATATGTTTGCCTTGCTTAGCTGTCGTCGCTTCCAAGGTGGTACCTCACTTCGTTCGGTACTTTGCTGAACAAGGACTTCCGTGGAACCAGTGTCTCCACCTGGTATGCACGTGCTGTTGTGTCCGTGACTGAAGCAAGAGCGTGCGCACTAGGTCGACTTTCGAGCACCAGCCAACTCAACCCTAGAATTTCTGCTACACATCGGTGTTGGAAGCAAGAGGAGGTTCCGGATCATTTCCTGCTCTGTGTTGCATCGCCGTGCCCGGATCGAGGTGCTGCAGCTGTAGGTGCACTCCCCAACCCGCTTCCATAAGGCGGAATGTGGTGGCTGCTGAGCCAGCTGTGCACCTGCTTCGGTAGGGACAAGCAGGCTTGCCTCCTCCCGGAGGAGGAATCTGGAGGAGGAAGTGAGTATGGCTACGCAGTAGCAAAGAACGAACGCTCCCGAATGGAGGACGCAGTGGACATCCAGGAGGACGTCGCCGGATACAGGCTCTTTGCGGCCTACGACGGACATGCAGGATGTCAAGCTGTCACGGTGGCAAAGGAGATAATCCCAGGAATTCTGGGAAGGTACCTCCGCGATGCCGAGGATGTGGAGGGCGCCGTCAAGGCCGCCTTCAGAGCCGCAGACGAGGAAATCATCAAACACCTCGTTGACAAGAACTTGACTCCTCACATGAAGACATCTTCGGGCACAGTAGCTTGCCTTGCCTTGGTCAAGGGTGCGGAGATGTGGATTGCCAACCTTGGCGATTGCCGGGCCGTGCTGTCCAAAGATGGGTCAGCCCTGGCGATTTCACGTGACCATGCCCCTGAGAAGAATGCCGCGGAGGCAGAGCGTTTGCGGCAGCTGGGTGTCAAAGTTGAGGGGGGTTATGTGGAGGAGCACGTGGCGGTGTCGAGAGCCTTCGGCAACGTGTGCTTCGACACGGGCAGCAAGGTCAAGGGCATCAGCAACGAGCCCGAGGTATTTCTTGTTGAGATCGATGACACTGTGGACTTCGTCATCATCGGCACCGATGGAATTTGGGATGCACTTAAAGAACAGTTTGCTCTGACGCATGCCCGCAAGGCACTCCGAACCACAGCAAAGCCGGAGGATGCTGCAGCGGCTATCCTGCAAAACGCGGGAAAAGTGAGCAAGTCGGACAATGCTGCCGTGATCGTGGTTGTGTTCAAGTTTCCTGAGCCGCTGCCGAAGCGGCCTGGGGTGCCAAGAGTTTCCTTGACGCAGTTGCAGGAGACACCTGCGTAGGTCCTAGACGGACTTGAGTTTCTAATTCGACATGCAGCCGCCTCGAGAGGGCACCCGCAGGCATCGCAAGCTTTTCGCAAGCAGAGGAGCCACGGGAGCGTGAGACACACCTCGAGGACCTCGATTCCATGCTGACCAGCGACATGCCTTTGAAGAAATCAGGTGGACACAGGCAGTGATAGGGATCGCTCGACGGCGTTAAGAGGAAGCGTGTCTCGCCCTGTGCTCACCACAAACCTACGTAAAGGGAGAGACAGCTGTTACTTCTGGGTGAGTGCGGGGTTGGTTCTGATGAGATGACACTGAAGGGAGTGACGAAACTGGTCAGACCACAAGCTCAGGGACTGTTTTATTGAGGTAGAACACTCGTTTGCTACGTTCTCTGAAGCCCTTGACAAGCCCTCAGCCCTAACCTTCAACTTCCGTCCTAAACTCCCTAATCTCCCCAAAGAAGGACCTACGGCTTCGGCCTGACGCCGCTCGCGGCAGCAGCTGGAAAGAAGGCTCTCGGATGGCTGGGATATGAAAAAAATCGGTTCTTGGGCGGGGCGGCTTCAGGGAGCTTTGGGATCTTTCGGGAGTTTTGGGAGCTTTCGGGAGCTTTCGGGAGCTTTCGGGAGCTTTCGGGAGCTTTCGGGAGCTTTCGGGAGCTTTCGGGAGCGTTGGGAGCTTTAGGGAGCTTAGGAAGTTTTAGGGAGCCCAGGGAGTTTAGGATGCGATGGGTGTGATACAAGCCTAAGAGCACGCCCAAGAGTCGACGATCACCTATTGTAAGAATGGAGCCCGGTAACGTACAGTGGGCGCAGCAGGGGTATCCAGTCTGCCGGTGTCTCATTCTCAGGGAAACGGCGCCCGATTGCAAACGCGAGGATCCTCCACTCAAGGCACCTCGCCGCACAAGTAGCAAGTATTCAAGTATATTGAAGTATATGGAAGTAAACTGAAGTATATGTATGCCGAGTTCATACAATACATTCTGCATGCAGGCGGAGTAAGGTGAAAGCAGCTTGTCAACAGGATGCAAGCAGGATCAAGTACACTGCCTTGATGGTTGCCTGGGCTCTTCTTTTGCAAAGCTGCTCCACGTATCTGTGTTTGCGAAGTTGGTGTCGCCTTGCTTCTCCACGTAAGGTTGACGTGGTTGCAGTCAGCGTGAGCATAACTGTGTGGGGTGCCCAGCTACCTGCAGAGGTGCCTGTATACCTCGAAAACCAAGCTGAACCTTGTCGACACATGTCGACAAGCTGCAATTCGCATCAATTCGCAAGCAATGCGCAAGAGTCTTGAAATGATATGGCTGCCTTGCTTAACTGTTGTGGCTTGCAAGGTGGTACCTCACTTCGTTCGGTGCGTGACTGCTCAAGAAGGACTTCTCTGGAACCAGTAACTCCACCTGGTATGCACCTGCTGATGTGTCTGTAGCTCAAGCAAGGGCGTGCGCACTATAGGTCGTCTTCCGAGCACCAGTTAGCAGCCTCTATAGCATTTTCTGCTACACATCGGCGTTGGAAGAACAAGGAGGTGCCGGATCATTTCCTGATCGGGTTTATCCAACCCCACATCACACCTCTTTTTTTGCATAGCTGTGCTCGGATCGAGGTGCTACAGTGCTACAGGTGTAGGTGTATACTCCCCCACCCGCTTCCATAAGACGGACTGTGCGTGGCTGCTGAGTCAGCTGTGCACCTGCTGCATCTGGAGGAAGTGATAATGGCTACGACGCAGACGCAACTCTTTGCAATCGACGATGGACATGCCGGCAATGAGGCTGTCACGGTGGCGAAGGAGATCCTCCCACATCTTTGGGAGGATTTCCTTGGCCACCGTGACAGCTTCATTCCCTGCATGTCCATCGTCGACTGCCTCCAGGATGCTCAGGATGTGGAGGGCGCCAGAGCCGCGGACGAGGAAGTTACAACCCAACTGGTCGACAACAAGTTGACGCCTCACATGGAGACATCTTCGGGCACGGTAGCTTGCCTTGGCTCGGTCAAGGGTGCGGACATGTGGATTGCCAACCTTGGCGATTGCCGGAACGTGTTGTCCAACGATGGCACAGCCCTGGCGATTTCGGGTGACTATGCCCCGGAGGAGAATGCCGCGGAAGCAGAGCAATTTGCAGATCTGCGATCGTCCTGCTTCCGCGATTGCATGTCAAAGTTCAGGGTGGCTACGTTGACGTTGAGGAGCACGTGGCCGTATCGAGAGCCTTCGGGAACGTGCGTTTCAGCTGAGGCGCACGTTGCCGAGGGCTGTCGATACAGCCACAGCAGCAAGTTTGAGGGCATCAGCAGCGAGCCCGAGGCATTTTCTGCGAAGATCGATGGCGCAGTTGACTTCGTCATCATCGGCACGGATGGAATTTGGGATGCACTTAAAGAGCAGCTTGGTCTGACGCATGCCCGCAAGGCACTCCGAACCGCGGCAAAGCCGGAGGATGCTGCAGCGGCTATCCTGCAAAGCGCGGGAAAAGTGAGCACGTGGTTGTGTTCAAGTTTCCTGAGCTGCTCCCGAAGCGGCCTGGGGTGCCAAGAGTTTCCTTGACGCAGTTGCAGGAGACAGAATTACAAACTCACGTCCGTCTAGTACCTACGCAGGTGTCTCCTGCAACTGCGTCAAGGAAACTCTTGGCACCCCAGGCCGCTTCGGGAGCGGCTCAGGTGGTTTTGTTCAAGTTTCCTGAGCCGCTCCCGAAGCGGCCTGGGGTGCCAAGAGTTTCCTTGACGCAGTTGCAGGAGACACCTGCGTAGGTACTAGACGGACGTGAGTTTGTAATTCGACATGCAGGCGCCTCGAGAGGGCACCTGCAGGCGTCGCCAGCTGTTTGCGAGAACTGGAGCCGCGGGAGCGTGATCAGGAGAGTCAGGACACACCTCCTGGCGATGCCGACCAGCGACACGCCTTTGAAGCAAGCAAGTGGACACAGCCAGTCGCACAGGGTCGTTCCACGGCATTAAGAGGAAGCGTGTCTCGCTGTATGCTCATTACAAACCTATGTAAAGGGAGAGACAGCTGCTACTTCGGGGTGAGTGCGGGGTTGGCCCTGGTGAGATGACACTGAAGGGAGTCTCGAAACTGCTCTTTGAGCTGCAGTGTGGTCAGACCACAAGCTGAGGGACTGTGTTACTGAGTTAGACCACTCGTTTGCGACGTTTTCTGAAGCCCTTTAACCCTAACCTTCAGCTTCCGTCCTAAACTTCCTTTAAACTCCCCAAAGAAGGACCTACGGAATCGGCCTGATGCCGCTCGTGGCGGCAGCCTGGAATGAAGGCTCTCGGATGGCTGGGTCAGGGAGTTTTGGGATCTTTTCGGGAGTTGTGGGAGCTTTCGGGAGTTTTGGTAGCTTGAGGGAGCTTAGGAGGGAGTTTAGGATGTGACGGGCGTGATACTAGCCTAAGAGCACAAGAGTCCACGATCTGGGACAAGACCTATTGTGAGAATGGAGCATGGTAACGTACCGTGGGCGCAGCAGGGGTGTCCAGTCTGCCGGTGCCTCATTCGCAGGGAAACAACGCCAAAACGTCACAGTGAAACAGCGCGAAAACGTCGAATTCAGTTTAGTTCTTCGGCATGCAGTCTTCGCATCCGCGGCCGCATTGACCTTCGGCCTGGACCGCGTCCATGGCGGCTCGTTTCTCACACTCAGAATCCGTGTGAACGCGTGGGCAATGGTCGGCGGCAAATGGGGATTTGAATGCAAACGGCCAAGGAAGAAGTGGGCCTAGCAGCTACCTAGCATCCTTGCAGTTGCAGGGTCGGGCCCCGCCCGATTGCAAGCGTGAAAATCCTCTTCTGAAGGGCACCTCACGACACAAGTAGCAAGTACAATTGCCGAGTTCATGCAATATCTGCATGCAGGGCGGAGTAGATGGACAAGCAGCTTGTCAGCAGGATGCAAGCAGTCGAAAAGGATCACGTCACTGCCTTTGTCTATGTTTGCAAAACTGCTGTCGCCTTGCTTCTCAGCGTTAGGTTGACGAGGTTGCAGTCAGCGCGAGCATAACTGCGTGGGGTGCACAGCTATGTACAAAGGTGCCTGTATACCTCGAAGACAAAGCTGCAATGGGAGAGAAGTTCAGCAACCTGAATGGCATGTCGACAAGCTGCAATGCGCAAGAGTCTTGAACTGATGTGTTTGCCTTGCTTAGCTGTTGTCGCTTCCAAGGCGGTACCTCACTTCGTTCGGTACTTTGCTGAACAAGGACTTCCGTGGAACCAGTGTCTCCACCTGGTATGCACGTGCTGTTGTGTCCGTGACTGAAGCAAGAGCGTGCGCACTAGGTCGACTTTCGAGCACCAGCCAACTCAACCCTAGAATTTCTGCTACACATCGGTGTTGGAAGCAAGAGGAGGTTCCGGATCATGTCCTGCTCTGTGTTGCATCGCCGTGCCCGGATCGAGGTGCTGCAGCTGTAGGTGCACTCCCCAACCCGCTTCCATAAGGCGGAATGTGGTGGCTCCTGAGCCCGCTGTGCACCTGCTTCGGTAGGGACAAGCAGGCTTGCCTCCTCCCGGAGGAGGAATCTGGTGGAGGAAGCGATTATGGCTACGCTTTAGCAAAGAACGAACGCTCCCGAATGGAGGACGCAGTGGACATCCAGGAGGACGTCGCCGGATACAGGCTCTTTGCGGCCTACGACGGACATGCAGGATGTCAAGCTGTCACGGTGGCAAAGGAGATAATC